AACATTTAAACACTATTTATAAAAGCGTAAAAACTGGATTACATTTCAGAATTGGTTACCTACAAGTGACCATGTCTTCCTCTAATTTATATATTCTTATGCTCTCTCATCCTACGAGACTGAACTTCTTCTGCTAACTAGGTGAATCCTTCCGTTGTGACACCCTCTACTCCAGGAGCACAGCTGCGTCTCGATCACTGCGTTTCCTCGCCATGAGCACAGTTACAAACGAGAGGAAGTCTTTCAGTCCTTCTAGTCCGTTTGGCAGTTAGTAGCCAATTGACATGAGGTTCCATCCAGACAGTGTCCGCTCCAGCAACATGGCGGTGCAGCTTGTACCAGACTCCCACAGCCTCTGGGAAAGGAAGCGCTGCCTGTACTTGGGGGGAAATGAACGGGGTTCTCTTCCTTTATTCCTTTACCTTGCCAATTTTGCGGTGATCCCGGCTCTTGGCCTCCTCCTGGAAGCGCTCCCACTCCTTCATCATCTTGGAGTCGGGGAAGGAGATGCCATAGAGGCGCTGGAGCGTCTCCATGTCGGCTCGGCCCTCCCAGTACGTGGATGAGTTCTAAAGGACAATAAACTTGAAATTATACTCATACACTGGTATATGGTAGAACGAAATTCTATTTAGCTCAGACAGTAAGTACTAGAAAAAAACAACAATACAATTGTGTAAGAAAAGAAAGACAGAGCCAACAGGTAATGTGCAAAATACCAGCTGTACGTCACAGAATGAAATAAAGGATAGAAAATGATGGGGAGTGAACGTCTTGACATGCGAGTTAGAGGTAGGTTTCAATGTGCGTTTGAGTTTTGATAAGGAGAGAAGGCACCATAAGGGTTCAGATCGTAGGTGAGAGAGGCTGGGAGTTTGATAGTGCAGGGGTAAAAACTGTCTCTGAGTCTGGTAGTCTGGGCCCGAATGCTCCGGTACCATTTCCAGATGGTAGAGGGTTAAACAGGGTGTAGCTGGCGTGTGTGGGGATGATACTTAGAGCTTTCCTCAAGCACCAATCGGTCATAAATGTCCTGGATGGATGGGAGAGCAACCCCAGTGGGCTGGGCAGTTTTCACCACCCGCTGTAGGGCTTTGCAGTCAGCAATACTGCAGTTGCCATACCACACTCTGATGCAACCTGTCAGTGTGCTTTCTGTATTGCATCTGTAAAAGTTAGTCAGGATCTGAGGGAGGTATCCTAGCTAAAGAGCACAAGGGCAATATGCAGGACCTTCTCTCCAGCTCTGGCTGCATGCAAGGCTCAGGGTAACTTTGTTCCTTGTGCTCCTAAAGGCCCATTTAATGGTAAGTAAGGCAAGGTAATCAGACAGGATGATGTGTGCAGTGGTTTCAGTACCTAGGTCCCTCGATCAGACTGCTCTTTCACCTGGCCTGACAGAATTCAACCTGCCAACATCAGTAGTGCATCTGGTTCTGCTTGAGGGTTCAATTGCAAAGTTATTTTCAACCTCATTTACCTTAAAGGCACCTTTAAAAGGAGGGATTCAGACTTAGAGGAGTTCAGTTATGATCCTACAGATGGCAGCTTCCTACCATTGTCTCCTCAGCTGAGCCCAGCTCAGCCATAACCACAGCATAACATGTACTGAGGTAAGCCACGTTTCAGAAATGTTAGTCATCTAAAACTGCTAGGATCCTGAAAACTCTTTTCAGGGGGCAAAAGGTTTAGAGAATGCACAGCATAATAGTATCATTATAAAATTTTAAGCTGACTAACCATCCTTGTCTAAAAACATCTTACTCTTTGTGAAATCAATAAAAACTGAAAGAAGCAGTGAAAAAGATGGCACAACTAAGCACTCCGCAGAGAACTTAGCTAAGCTGCGAGTGTTGGCGAGAGATGGTTGAGAAGGGAAGGCAGCGTTTTATCCCATTTCTTCCCTCTCTCTGAGGTACTGTAGAGTAAACGGTACCTTATAGATCTTCAGGGCCTTGATCTTGCCAGTGTGTCTCACGTGTGGTCCTCGACAGAGATCGATCAGAGGCCCACACCTCCAGGAAGCAGCAGCAGACAACAGCAAGGTTAGCACACTGCCAAACTGCTGACTCACCCTTCAGATCAGTGCATCAGACATTTCCCTTCCAAGTATTTTCGGATTATCACAATCCTTATCGAACAAACTATGCAAGTAGTCAATTTTACTTTTCAAATCTCATATATACCTCCTCCTCATATTACACTATAACCTTCAAAACACAAGCCGTCACTCGACGGTGGACAACTTGCGGCAAAATTCTGTGATGAGTGTCCAAAGCCAGTGGTAGCCAACATTAGCAGACACCAGATTTATACAGATAAGGCTTGCCTTGTCTCATCTGGACCAATTTAGGTTCTTCATCTTTAAAAAGACATAGAATCATACAAACTTTCTGCTAGACAAATGAGCAACACTGAAAAGCATCACTGGTCAGGACTTCCCACTTCATCTGAATAAAACTGAGGCCTGACCTATCAGAATGATTCCCACTTAAGCAAAAATGGGTCCCTGCATTCAGATCAAGTCCTTTTCTCTTGAAGTGGATACACTGGGACTAACAAACAAGCAGTAAGGTGAGATTCAAAGATTAATTAAGTACTAATAACTCAAGGAGAAATATAGGTTGTAAATAGGCCCTTTCTACCGTAATTTAAGAAAATGCTTTCTCCTGTAATCCACATGGCAAAAAAGATTAAATTCAACTCAGAAATGACTCTCAGATTGGTGCAGTCTGTCCCTAACTAATGTGTAGCTGTCTAACTGGTCACTTTGTGTCCACCCAAGCAGTAGTCCTCCCTCACACAGTGCACACAGATCAGCACACAGGTCCGCGCAGGTGAAACGGCATCTCTTACCGGTATACAGTAGTAGTAGGTGTGTTGACTTTCTCGTTCAAAATTCGGCACTTGAACTTGTTGTACTGCAATAAAAAAGTCATTCCAGCATTATAAAACATATATTTGGTAACTTTTGCTAAAAACATTCTTTCAAAAAGTGGAATAATTCATTTCTAGTATTAAAGACGTGCGAAATCAGCATATGAACTTTAAAATACAATTAAGATGGTTTTAACTAGTTTGTAAACAAACGTGTACAGGTGACTCCTTAGCCATGTGTGCCAGCAGTAATATCCGGCAAAACAGCCAGGAGGGTATCAGCCCTTCCCAGGCAAAGGAAGAAGCTCTGCAGCACCTGTGGCCTCAGGGCTCACGTCAGG